TAACCCAGGGCTTTGTGCATGCTAGGCAAGTAAGTACTCTACCACTGAGCCCAGCCTGAGGTAATTTGGGGGATAGGGTCTCACTCTGTATCCAGGCTGGCCTGGAATTGGCGTTCTTCCTGCTTTAGCCTCCCAGATGCTAAGGTTACAGACATGCTCTACCTTGCCTAGCTGAACAGAGCTTAAAAATGAATTCTCTTCTCTCTCGCTCTTTTTTTAAAATTTGAGATAGTCTCGTGTAGCCCTTCAGCTGGCAGCCTCCCCCCCTACACACACACACACCTTGGCTGCCCACTTCAGGGATGACAGGTGTGTGGCATGCTCGATGTTTTCATTGGACTTAAGAATCTTCTTTTATAGTTTACCCTTCAACAATGAGGAACATGCTGTTCTGGTCACTTCTTAGAAAGGGTGATTCAGTTCTGTGGTGTTATTGTGCACATGTCACAGTTTCTTACTAATAGCGTGGTGTGGCCAAATGGAATGAGGTTGGGGAACTTCTTCTGCCAATCCCAGGCAGATAACAACACTTTTTTGTTAATAATTTATACCCCTAAGTATTCACATGTAGGGTAAGGAAGCAGTAAGTAAGAGCGGTGTATTTGACTTTGGAGTGAGTCTCTTGGCAGGTTAGAATAGAGGGAAAAGGAGTAAGAGCATGGGATGCTCTGATCACATAGGACATAGCTTTCGAATGCTGCGCTTCTGTCTAGACCGACTTACTAGTCTTTTTCAGGAACTACGCTCAGTGGGCCTCTGACCTCTCTGGGTGCTATTAGCTAGTCAGCTGACAGAGTCTAGAATTACCCGAGGGTATGCCTGTGGGGTTACCTTGACTGCATTCATTCACTGATGTGGAAAAGCCCGTTTTAATTATGGGTGGGACTATCCTAGCCAGAGGAGAGGATAAATGGAGAAAGCCAGCTGAATGTTGGGCCAGCTTTTTTTCCTCTCTGCTTCCTGGCTGTGGATGGAATGTGACCAGCTACTTGAGGCTCCTGTGTCTTGACTTCGCCACAGTGATGGACTGTCCCTTTGAACTGTGAGCACTAATAAACCTTTGCTACTTTAAATTGCTATCTTAGCACAGAATCGGGAAAAGAAACTTAAATACTGAAAATGTAGGCGACGACCTTGATTAGCCGAATCAGAGTAAAGCTCCTATAGTCAGTGTGGTGTCTGTGGAGAGGGGGACCAAGGTAAATGGGAAAATAACTTCTTACAGAAACATAAATCTTCATTGTTTAAAAGTTGTTTCTTTTTTTAAACTTCATTTTGTGTGTATGAGTGTTTTGCCTGCATGTGTGTATAAATGTACATGTACTGTGTGTGTGTGTGTGTGTGTGTGTGTGTGTATGTATGTATGTGTGTGGTGTGCCCATAGAGGTCAGAAGAGAGCGTCTGATATCCAGGAACTAGAGTTACAGACAGTTGGGAACCACCATGTAGGTGCTGGGAACCAAACCCTGGTCCTCTGGAAGAGCAGCCAGTAACCACAGAGCCATCTCTCCAGCCTCAAACCTTCAATTTCTGTTACTGATTACTTCTTTAAACAGCAGTTGTAGGCTGAGGCATGTAGTTCACTAGTGCCTGCTTTAGTACACGTCAAGCCCTGGGTTTGATCACTAGCACTGCAAGTGAATTAATAAACAATTAAAGAGCAATCATCAAACCAGGTGCAGTGATGCACCTCAGTGGTTCTAGCTGCTCTTGAGGCCAAGGCCAGCCTGGGCAACATAGCCAGACTCTTGCCCCACATACAATAAAAATTTTAAATGTAATATGAAAAAGTGGGTAAAGAGTGACTAGGTACCAAGACAAATGAAAGGGTAGGGCTAGAAAGTACTAGAAGAAACCTTCCTATTAAGTTTAGATTACAGAGAACCTTAACTATAAGGCAGATAATATGGGCCTCCAAATATTTATGGTATACCTGGACATATAAAAATAAAGGTTTTGCGCAAAGTTACACAGAGAAACCCTGTCTCGAAAAACCAAAATAAAATAAAATAAAATAAAATAAAATAAAATAAAATAAAATAAAATAAAATAAAAAAGTTTTAAAAGTATGAACAGTAAAAGTTCAGCTTTACTATTTAAAAAAAAATTAGTTCAAGCCATGTATGGTAACACTTACCTGTAATCACAGCACTCAGAGGCAGGAACATTAACCCAAATTTAAGACCAACCTGATCTACTTGACAAGTTCTAGGCCAGCCAGGGCTACATGGCAAGGCCTTGACTCAAAGAAACCAGAACATCAGAAAGCCATTTAGTCCCCAGTACTGCAAAAACAAACAAGTTGTACATGACAGATGGTCTATGAGACAGCTAACCTAGGTGTTGGGCCAGTGAGATGTCTCTTCCCCTCAAGACTGATGACCTCAATTTGAACCTTAGGACCCACAAAGTGGAAGAAGGGAAGCACATCCCCAAGGTGACCTCTGACCTCCACATGTACTCTGTGGTATAAGTCTCCTTCCCTCAACCTACAGAAAGGAAAATGGCATGGAAAAAAAGCAGTTGGGAAAAGTCCATATTAGGAAAGACTAGAGACCTAACAACCAAATGTAATGGGAAGCTTTTTATTGGATCCTAGTTCAAACCCCCAAAAGAAAGGGAGGAACTCCCAACCGTAAAGGATATTTTGCATGGTGGTACCTACCTATAATCCCAGCACTTTGGAAACTGAGGCAGGATCATGAGTTTCAAGGTCAGCATAAAATACATTAAATCCAACATTGAGAGGGCTGGAGAGATGGCCCTGACGTTTACTGTAGAGCCATCTACAGTTTACTTGTTTCTCTTACAGAGGACCCAGGTTCAGTTCCCAACACCCACATGGTACTTTATAACCATCCTTAATTTTGATTCCAGGACATCTGACACCCTCTTTTGAACTCAGAGCATCAGGCACACACAATGCGCACAGACATGCATGCAGGGGTGAAACATTCATACACATAAAGTTTGAAAAGACTAACTTTGCCTACATAGATCCTGTTTCAAAAATAAAGGCAGAAAAAAGTAAAACAGTAATTTTAATGTTTTTTATTTTTAATGTGTATGAGTATTTTGCCTGCATGTATCTAAGTACACAGTATGTGTGCCTGGTGCCTAATGAGGCCAGAGGCAGGTTTAGGAGCCCCTGGAACTGGAGCCATGGACAGTTGTAATAACCATGTGGTGCTGGGGACCAAAGCTGAGTCTTCTATAAGAGTAGCAAGTGCTCTTAACTACTGAACCATCTCTCACAGTCCCTGTTTTTTTTCTTTGAGATAGGTTTCTCTTTGTAACAGCTCTATCTGTCCTAGAACTAGCTCTGTACACCAGGCTGGCCTCGAACTCACAGAGGTCCACCTGCCTCTGCCTCCTGAGGACTGGGATTAAAGGCGAGCGTTACCACCTCCTGGCTGTTTTTTCATTCTTTTTTTTTTTTTTTTT